AATAATCGACACGTAATGTCTGTCTTACATATCTGCGTTCCTTCTTACTGTATATATTTCAAAAGTTTTTTATTCCTTTTTGGACACGCTAATTAAAATTTCTCACACATGAATTCTGGTGAGTTTTTATTACATAATTTTATTATTTTTGTTAGATTTCCGGTATTTTATTTTATTTATGCGTAGATTTTTTTTGTGGTACGTTTTTTTGTTTTTTAATTTATCTTTTTTATCAATTAGAACTTTACCAAGATATTTTTATTATAATATATTTGACGGTTCAATCGTACGGAAATTATATTGAATTCGAGATCAAGACTCACCCGAACTGTGAATATTCTGAATATGCGATCATTTGCGATAATTGATTTTATTCTGCGACTTTTTCGTTATGCTAATGTCTGAAGAGGGCTCAAACCGGTAGCCGAAACATGTAACCTTAATCATTTCTTAATTTATATTCTAATTTTTTGCGTTATGTAATTTTTCATCTCTGTTATTTGTAATATAAATTTTTTGTGTATTTTAAAGAAATGTGTTGACTCTTACTTTGCACGATATTTATTTTTATTTATACAGCTACTTTATTAGCGTAATTTAAGATTTTTTTCAAGAATAACAATCATTAATGTATTGTAATTCAAGATTTTATATTTCAGCCAATATCGATATGGGGCTTGTTGAGCCAACATCTCATAAGTAATCTTATAAACTCAACTGCTTAAATGAAATCTGTCTTTATCAATATTTTTATTCTGTGTTAACGATTAAACACACTTTACGTTTAATTATTATCATAAAGAGTTAAGATTTTAGTTTTCCTGATTTTGTTAATTAAAGCATTTAAAAAGAATATTACAAATTATATTTAAGATGAAAGTAGCCAACAAAATTAACGCAACACTTGTTTCATTCTGCAAAAATAGGCAAATTTCAAGATACAATAACTTCGTCAAAAATCGTCGTATCGGGATGTTTAAAAAAGCATTTTACAGGTTGAAACCTCTACTTTTTAGATGGTTACTTTAAAAAGCGGTCTCATGGAGATTTTATGAAGTTACAGAAACGTAAATGAAGATATATCAGATCTCAACAATTTTTAGTCTACTCCGTGGAACTCCGCAAATTTCGTAAAAAATTTTGAGATCTGATATATCTTCATTTATGTTTATGTAACTTTATAAAATCTCCATGAGACCGTTTTTTTAAAGTAGCAACCTGAAAAGTAAAGGTTTCAATCTGTAAAATGCTTTTCTAACACCCCGATATGACGATTTTTGACAAAGTTATTCTATCTTGAAGTTTGTATGCAGCTACTGAACAAAATTAGAGCCATTTAAAATCTGCGTTAAAGAGAATTAAATTCAAATTTCACATATCTTTGCGAAGTATGGTCACGAAGCGATGAAAAAACATTTTAAAGCCATAACTTCTTTAATTGTAAGTAAAGTTTAACATTTTCTCTTTAAAATGATTTTTTATCATTATGTTACAATTTTTTCACTGAATGATTTGAAATGAGTAGTGCATTATGTTGTCTTTTCTCTGAAAATTTCTAAAAATTGCGTGCGTGCGTGTTGAGGGAAGTGTGTGAGTGACATTTACACTTTAAAATTTAGTATTTCCGCCTCGTGACTTCTTGCAAACAATCACGCATATTGATGAAAGATCTAATTACGGCTTGAGATATTTCCCACCATTATTCGATGCAATGTTGCTTCTAGTTCTTAGAGATTTGTTGGCGGTCTTTTCAAATTGCATTCCCTTCTTTCCATCATGTCCCATACATGTTTGATGGGATTTAAATCCGCGCTCATCGGTGGATGTGATAGCACCTCGATGTTGTTTTCTTTGTGGAAGTTAAGGATTTTCCTAGTAGTATGTGGTCGAGCATTGTTCTGTATTAAAATGAAATTGCGTCCTACTCGACAATGCATCGGAATGACGTGAAGACGGAAAATTTCCTCCATAATGTATAGCTGTCATTCCAGGAGGTAATAAGGTGACGATGTTCGTGCGTCTACGTGTTGATATTCCACCTCATACCATAATGGAACCACCATCAAACGATTACAATTTCGTTCATAACGATACCCACGATGACACCAAACACGAATTTTTGCATCAGAACTAAAAAGGCAAAACCGTGATTCATCAGTTAATAGTTGTTCCACTGTTTTGCAGTCCAATTTTGATCAAAGCAAGCATATTCTAAACGGGCATGTTGAGCCACAGATAACATTGGCGCTCGAGCACGAGTCTACGATCTCAAGTCTCTTTCGTGTAAACGCTTCCTGATTGTTTGAACGCTGATTCGTCGGTGCGGAAGAATTTCGCTTACAATTTATCGCGCAATCATTATTGGATTTCGCATTGCCACATTGACGATGTTGCGATCTTTACGAGCTGATGTTACTCGTTTTCAACCTTGTCCGTTCCTTCGACAAAATCTTCCTGTCTGTTGGTAACGAATGTAAACTCGACCGATGGAGGACCGATTAACACCCACTCTTCTTGCAATATGATTCTGACTCAATCCTTCTTCCAGAAGAGCAATAATATTGGGAGTATAAATAAGTTTCCGCCGTTTGACAAACAATGGCGCTACCAATATGTTATAGTTAAAAGTCAGCTGTAAAACGTCATATCGTAAGATTGGACATCTGGCAAGAACCTTGAAATATTAGCGATTTTGTATCAGCATCTTATATCTTTTTTCGTGCGAAAATGTCGAGTTTTGAGCCGAATAAGCATCATTTGCGGGAGCTTTTGATTTACTTCTTTAATTTGAAGAAATCTGCAGCTGAGGCGCATCGATTGCTTGTAGCATATGGTGAGGCTGCCTTAAGTGAGAGAAGTTGCCGTGAGTGGTTTCAAAAGTTTAAGAACGGTGAATTTGACGTCGAAGACAAAGAACGTAGCGGAAAGCCGAAAGTGTACGAAGACGCGGAATTGGAAGCATTATTGGATGAAGATTCGTGCTAAACGCAAAAAGCACTTGCACTTACATTAGGAGTGACTCAACCAACAATTTCACATCGCTTAAAATCGTTGGGAATGATTCAAAAGCAAGGAAATTGGGTTCCATATGAACCCAACTGAAGTCGAGAAACGTTGAACGCCGATTTTTCACATGTGAAATGCTGCTTGCCAGGCATAAACGAAAGGGTTTTTTGCACCGTGTAGTCACTGGTGATGAAAAATGGATCCACTACGATAACCCAAAGAAGAAGAAATCATGAGGACCACCTGGCCATGCTTCAACATCGACAGCCAAGCCGAACATTCATGGGAAAAAGCTCATGTTGTGTATTTGGTGGGATCAGCTAGGCTCGTTTATTATGAGTTGCTCAAACCGAACGAAACCATTACTGGGGCTCTCTACCGAACACAATTGATGAGATTGAGCCGAGCCCTCAAGGAAAAACGCGCCCACTACTACTCCAGACACGACAAAGTTATCCTTCTGCATGATAATGCTCGTCCACATGTTGCGGCGCCGGTCAAAACCTACTTGGAAACACTCAATTGGAAAGTTTTACCCCACCCGCCGTATTCACCAGACATTGCTCCTTCTGATTACTATCTGTTTCGATCGATGGCGCATGGCCTGTCTGAGCAACACTTCACATCATATGAAGATACCAAAAATTGGGTCGATTCGTGGATAGCTTCAAAAGATGAAGCGTTTTTCCGACGCGGTATCCGTATGCTGCCAGAAAGATGGGAAAAAGCGATGGACAATACTTCGAATAAAACGTTAGGTACCGTTCTTTCACAATAAATGCCCAATTTTTGATAAAAAACGGCGGAAACTTATTTATACTCCTAATAATTTGTGCACACTGAATTTTATTCAACCGAAGCATTTTGTTACGACCCTGCTTTTTTGAACGATAACTTCAGTTAATTTAAACTAAAGGTTGGGGCGCATTGTGGCGTCAAGTGTAACAGAAGAGAGGGTCCAGGCGGAGGATGCTGCCGTTGGAGATTGGCTGACGGCCCGGACAGAGGAGAGTCTTGGATGGAGGCGGTTAGCCGGTCGGTCAAAAGGAAAAGAAGGAAACGCAGGCGAAAAACTCAGTCTGGAAGTAAAGTTTTGCTTGACCGTCTTATGTATCCCGACGCCTGATCCGAGGGGGAGAGCCGGGATGTTTAAAAGTGATAGTGGAGTGGGGGGCGGGCAGACCGGTGGCGTTGTGGATTGTGGGACTCGGGTTTTCTCGGCTCTCCCGGCTATTGGGGCGCTTCTGGGTCGCGCGGGTGCTCGCCCTGCTTATGCCCATTCACGCGTTCGCGCGCTGAAGATCGTGCTTAAATCGTGCGTCAAAAGGATGACTTTTTGAAGAAGAAGTCAAAGACAAGTAACATCCGCTCATGAAGATCGCAATGTGGCAACATCGTCAATGTGGCAATGTGAAATCCAACAATAATTGCGCGACAAATTGTAAGCGAAATTCTTCCGCACCGACGAATCAGCGTTCAAACAATCAGAAGGTGTTTACACGAAAGAGACTTGAGATCGTAGACTCGAGCTCCAATGTTATCTGTGGCTCATCAACATGCCCGTTTAGAATATGCTCGCTTTGATCAAAATTGGACTGCAAGACAGTGGAACAACGTACTGTTCACTGATGAATCACGGTTTTGCCTCTTTAGTTCTGATGCAATTCGTGTTTGGCGTCGTCGTAGGTATCGTTATGAACGAAATTGTATCGAGCGTTTGATGGTGGTTTCATTATAGTATGAGATGGAATATCAACACATAGACGCACGAACCCCGTCACCTTATCGCCTCTTGGAATGACAGCTATGTTGCTATGTGGAGGCAATTTTGCGTGTTCCGATGCGTTGTCGAGGGACGCGATTTCATTCTAATGCAGGACAATGCTCGATCACATACCGCTAGTCCTTAACTTCCTCGGAGAAAACAACATCGAAGTGCTACCACATCCAATGAGCGCGGATTTAAATCCCATCGAACATGTATGGGAAGAAGGGTACGCAATTTGGAAAGACCGCCAACGAATCTCCAAGAACTAGAAGCAACATTGCATCAAATATGGTGAGAAATATCTCAAGCCGTAATTAAATCTTTCATCAGTATGCGTGATCAGTATCGTTTGCAAGAAGTCATTCGGAGACGAGACGGAAATATCAGATTTGTAAGTGTATATGTCACTCACGCACTTCCCCCAACACACACACGCACGCATGCACGTACGCACGCACACGAAGTGTAAGTCCGACCATGTAACCTCCCCGTGATATATCTCAGGTAATGCTAATACCAGCGGCAAAATTTTTAGAAATTTTTAGAGAATAGACAACATAAATCCATTACTCACTTCAAATCACTCAGTGAAAAAAATTGTAGCATAATGATAAAAAATCATTTTAAAGTAAAAATGTTAAACTTTACTTACAATTAAAGAAGTTATGGCTTTAAAATATTTTTTCGCACATTGCTTTGCGACCATTCTTCGCGGAGATATGTGAAATTTAAATTTAGTTTTTTTAACGCTGATTTTAAGTGACTCTAATTTTGTTCAGTAGCTGCATGCAAACTTCAGGATAGAATAACTTCGTCAAAAATCGTTGTATCGGGATGTTAGAAAAATATTTTACAGGTTGAAACCTCTACTTTTCAAGTCGCTACTTTTTAAAAAATGGTCTCATGAAGATTTTATAAAGTTATACAATACAAACATAAATGAATATATCAGATCTCAAAATTTTTTATGAAATTTGCGGAGTTCCACGGGGTGGACTAAAAATTGTACACAAATGCGATTTACATTATTCAAAAAAGCGAATCTTTATCTTTAATTTGCTTTTTTACGAAGCTCCGTACGAAATCATAAAAATTAACGGTTTTTTTTTGTTCTACTTACTCACTTTATTTTATTTATTGTTTAAATTTATTTTATTAAGAAGAAGGAGAGGAAGGGGGAGGAGGAGAGAGAGAGAGAGAGAAAGAGAGAGAGAGAGAGAGAGAGAGAGAGGGGGGGGGGAGAGGCAGAGAGGGAGCGTGTTCACCCGTTCAATCTAGAGCGTCTAGTCGAAGAGAGGCGTCAACTGATCACGTGACTTTGAATAAAAATTACGTAAACATTATTTTAAGCATATTTCTCTTAGTCTTTTCTTACAACTTATTTTATTTTTATGGATAGATCTCACTTATTACTTAAAGTCTACACATGTATTCTTGAATTTCATGACTTAGAATAAATTCTTGCAATATGTTGATGAGGAAGATCTAAGTAAAAGAAATACTAGTATCTTAAAAAAAGTTTACATTAAATATGTCTCGCGATCCCGCCGATAGGTTTCTTATATCATATGAAGTGTTGGAGGTATTTACATTTCGATTGTTAAGAGAGCTGGCGATGGTAATACTAGATTGAACATTGGTGATTTGGATAAAAGACCGGGCAGAACAAAGATTAAGAACTGAAGGATAAAAATAAAAAATTAAGAACTGAAAAAAGAACCGAAAAAAATCATAAAATTTTACCAGTTCGGTATTGGTATTATAAACTTTACAAAATTTGGGTACGGTTTCGGTTTCGGTTCACTAAAAGAAAGAGTTCCGAAACAGTTTTCGGTTCCGATTTCGGTTCGGTCTAAATCCCTGCTACCATCAGCATTCCAATTTTAGTAAGTACGTTATTGGTGCAAATACGCATTTCAGATTGGAATGGTATTTTTAGTACTATCAGTTGTATCAAGATGGCCGGAGTGAACGTTTTTTTGCTTCGGTTTGAATTTTGCATCATCAATATTTTAAAAGTATTATCGACAATATAATGCATTTGTATTCATAATTATCATTCCATTATTATTTGTTTTGGCCGTATTGACTCCCTTTTGATTCTACCAGCACGTGCCAATAATTTAAAAAAGAAGAAAAAAGAGTTAGTGAATTCATTGTTAGAAAATTGTGAAATATTAACTTTAAAATAGATAAACATAAGTAATAAAAGATTTTATTTGCAATGTATTTTTAAGAGTAATGCTTGAAAAATCTAATGAGGAATCTAGCGATAAATCAGATTCGGCAGAAATAGTAAACGTAATAAATAATTTCTGCGAACGTATATACTCGTACATATGTATTACACATATGTATTCTACGTAGTAGACGCAATGCATATAACTTTGGTTTTACTTTATGTAAGTTTTATATTGTTTTATTAATGTAATAATTTTGATAATCATTGGGCTATTCATTACATAGCTAATTTGGCATTTGGATAAAGAAGAACGGACTAATTGTCGGGAATCATTAACTTGGAATTTGCGTTAATTATGTAATTCCGATTTATATTATATTTCATATTGATAAGGATCCGAATTGAAGGGTTAAAACGTATATTTTATTTGTTTTGTTACTTTCACACGAAAAATAAAGAATTTTTGTGCATCCGAACAGTTGATGTAAGCTCTGATGAGCTTTTTTACATTTTTCACTGATTAAAATTAAAGTCACTCTAATTTTAACATAGCATCTGCAAGAATTTTTTTGTATTTTACTTATTACAAATTTTTTGTATATATTTTTTAACGTTACAATCTAAGATAATTGCAGTGAGTAGAACAGAAGCCTTAAGATTATGACAATACACATGTAATTTTTGTATTTTTTTAAAACTTATAGTAACATATGAAAATAAGTACGCGAAATGATTAAAAAATAATTAAGTTATAACGTAATGGAATAATTTTTGTTAGGTATTTTCTAAGGACGTAAAATAAATTAAATTAGTAACTCTTTAGGCATAATACTAAGGTTCAATGCTTTTTATTACTTATTACATAAGTTTTATCTTTTAGTTTACCGAATAGTACAATAGATTTTATAATTAAACAAGGAGTTGGGGAACTCAGGATGTTCTTGAGGAATAATCCGGATCTTTTAGTTACCAAAGCGGACAAGGATAATGCTACTGTAATTTTGACTTACCAAGAATACCCAGACAAAATGCGTGACATACTTTCGGATAAGGACACTTACAGATTGATAAACAAAGACCCTACTAACAAACTGACTACGGGAATACGATCTCTCTTAACTGGTTGGAGATCGAAAGGCTTTGTTGATCAAGATGTATATAAAAAATTGTATATTTCGGACGGTGATTTACCGAGATCCTATGGGCTCCCAAAAATTCATAAGACGAACATCCCGCTAAGAATAATAGTAAGTACCATCAATAGTCCTTTTTACAAATTAGCAGTTTTCTTGAAAGAAATTATTAATAAAAGTTTAAATAACAATGAAAAATTTTGATACATTAAAAATAGCTATGAGTTAGTCAAGAGAATTAATGGTCTATCTTTGCCTGAAGATTATCGAATAGTTTCGTTTGACATCTCATCCATGTACTCCAACATTCCCATCGAATTGGCTTTAAATAGTGTTTTAAGTAGATGGAATCGGATTGAGAAGAATACTTCCCTTTCAAGAATTCAAAAGGGCTATTTCCATCATTTTAAATTCAATCTTTTTTAAGTTTAATGATGAATATTACGAACAAATTTTTGGGTTACCCATGGGATCACCTCTATCACCGATTTTGGCGGACTTGGTGATTCAAGACTTGGAAAATAACATTTTCAGCACTCTTACCATGCACATATCTTTTTATTATAGATATGTGGATGATATCGTGCTTGCAGCTCCTACAAATGAGATTAATAACATCTTGGATTCCTTTAATTCTTACCACGAACGCATAAAATTTACGGTCGATCATGGTAATGAGTTTGGTGTCAATTTTTTAGATGTAAAACTTTTGCACGATAGAGGTAGTATTATATTTGACTTGTACAAAAAGTCTACAAACTCAGGAAGGTTTCTTAATTTTTTTCTCCAATCACCCTATCACACATAAAAAAGGCGTCGTGATTGGGTTAGTAGACAAAATTTTATTTCTATCTCATCCAAAATTTCATCACGCGAACATTGAATCCTTAATTAACTCTCTCCTCCGCAATGGATATCTCTTACAATTGTTATTTAAAACTATAAAAAACAGAATAAAATCGCTATCCAGGAAAAATAATTTCGAGATCATTAGTGAATATGATCCGGACTCTAACTTGAATACGGTTGAAAAGAAAAAATATTTCACTATCCCTTACTTAAAAGGAGCATCGGAAAAATTTAACAGAGCCCTTAATAAATATAAATTTGCGTTAGTATTTAAACCGATGAATAATTTAAATAGGTTTATAAAAACGGGCAAAGATAAAGTTAAAAAAGACGAACTTTCTAACGTTGTATACAAAATTGAGTGCAAGGATTGTAATTATTCATATGTAGGTCAAACTAAAAGAAAATTAAAAACGCGATTAAAAGAATATATAAACGATGTTAAAAAACCTATCAATTCTCTTTCGGTCATTTTTAATCACAGAATTGACACGGATCATATGATGGACTGGGATAACACTAAGATATTAGATTCCGAACGGGCTTATTACAAAAGATTGATATCGGAAATGATTCATATTAAAACGCAAGGGAAGGGATTAAATAAACAGAGTGATATCGAGCGGTTTTCAGACCTTTACCTCCCTCTCCTTGAATAATAATTCTAGCCCCACTCAAAAAATTCTTCCACTTCTCCTTCCTTTTCTTATTCTTCCTCCTCTTTTTCCTTTATTTCCACTATAAATAGACGAGCATTTGGGCCTTTGGCATTACGATTGTGCGAATTCTCAAGTGCTAAAAATTATCGCAGTGTTCAGTATACGGAGGAGTCCCGCTCCATAGGATAAGCGTAAGTCTACTACTATTCTTAAAAAGTCATCTTTGTCTAACATATTACGTATTTATTGAATACGAGAATAACTTTACTGAATTAAAAAATTGTGCTTTCACAATAGAAATGGGCACTTGCTTGTCTCTCTGTGGCGGCTCGTCGGTATTTATAGAACGTGATATGGCTTGACAATAATTACAATCGATATGAACTACTTAGATCGATGAGATTAATTCCATACAATAAAGAAAGGAAGAAAACCGTACAGTCTACTCTTAAATTCGATCGAATTTTG